GTTTTATTTTGACGACAACACATTCTACTTACTATTCCCCCTCCCAATTACCCCAGTAATGAAACAGCATAGTAAAATAACAGAGTGTGGCAGGCCAAAGATCCTAAAAGGAATATGACTACAGGCCTGACAGTTGCTTTTTACTACCTGCCCAACCTATTGTGAAGGGTAATTTTATGGCAAAAAATAAACAAACAAAAACCAGCATAGGAAGTATAGACTGTGCTGCCCTAGATTACAAATCTAATACATTTTTTCTTCTTTCCAAGAAACTCTGGATTCTGGATATCAGCCGATGGAACAAAATGGTACATATCTGGGGTTTGTAGACATCAGATGGACATTAAGGTGGTAGTGCCCATATTTCTTGTAGGTAGTTGAAGCTATTTTAACACAACTTTTAGAAAGTGGTATTATGGGTTTTTTAAATAATAACCAATATAACTGAGTTGGAAGGGACCTTGGAGGTCTTGTAGTCCAGTGGTCACCAACTGGTGGCTCCTGGATCACTGGTGGTGTGTGAGAAAATGTTGGTGGTCCGCAGAAAAATTATTTGCATTTTTTATATTGCACTAAATCAGGGATCCTCAAACTATGCCCCCTGGGCTGGATAGGTGCAATGAATGTTAGTGTTGCTGCAGAGAGTCTCCCCCTTCGAGGTCTTTTTCTGCTGGGAGGAATCCCGACTTGGGGTCTGCTTCAGCCTCCTGGTGTGGGGCTTTGGGTAAAGGCTGGAGGTAAGTGCCGCTGGTGGCGAAAAGCCGGAGGGCCTTGTTCCAGTGGGGCTGCATCATGGCTTGGAACTGGCTGACCATCTCAGCCCAGTGAGCCTCCAGGCGTTGGTATCTGGTCTTGCACTCCCACAGATCTTCTCTCTGCTTGGAAAGCCTATGCTCGTAGTCCTCAGTGAGGTGCTTCTGCTGAGACTCCTTCTGGGTCAGATCCAATTTGAACTGAGCCAGCTGTTTTGCCAACTCTTTCTCATGGTGGCTGCTTAGCTCTAACAACTGCTTCCTGTTGGGGCCTTGAGGAACCTGGACGGGCAGGCAAGGAGTGGTTGTGAGGGGTGAGTAGAGGCTGGTGAGGTGCCCCTTGATGCGAGTGACATTGAGTTGGCCACGCCCATCCAGTCACATGACCACCTAGCCATGCCCACCCACACAGTCAGTCATTAAGCAGATCATATTAGTTGTCCATGGGATTTAAAATAATGAATTTAGTGATCCCTGAGGTCCGAAAGGTTGGCGACCCCTGTTCTAGTCTAACCCTCTGCTCAAGGCCCTATACCATTTTTGACAAGTGGCTGTCCAGTCTCTTCTTGAAAGCCTCCAGTGACGAAGCACTGAATGAAGGGGCTGACTGCTACTAAAGGTTAAAAATGTACTTTTTTTCCCTCAAGAAGAGGATAAGGGGAAGGATTTATTGAAAAGGGAGTTGGCAGAAAGAATATTAGATGTCAGTGGAGAGGGAGGGAAAAACCTGAGTCCAATTTTGGGTTAGTAAAAGTTTTTAACGAAGGATTCCCAGGAGCGACAGGAAAACAACAGAGGTCAGTGCATAACTGCTGAATTAGGTCAGCATAGCAGCTATATGTAGAGGTTATGTATGGCCCAGGTTTATTCAGCTGGTGTCCTAGTAAGATCTTATTGGATTTATATGGCTCATTGAGGGTTATTTATAGAGAAGGCCCCCAATGATTACAAACTGGTTTGTCCACAAAGGGTTACAAATCTCACAAAATACTGAGGTTTTCTCTAGTGAAGGAAGACCTATCACATTAAAATACAAACCAATTAATCTTCTAAAAAACCACCTTGTGGTAGCCCTTGAATATTTGTGGATTCACTTGCTTGGAAAAAGAGCAGGTGTGCCAGAAAGCTTAGAGAGGGGACAAGGGAGTATGAGCTAGACGAGAGTAAAGACTGGGATAAAATAGATGTGCCTTAAGCTAAATTCAGCCCCTAGTTATGATAAGGCACATCCAAATTATTTTCTTGCCAACGCTGCAGAAATGGCTTGCCATTGCTTTCCCTCCTGAATGTGTTGCTGACTTCGCAGTTTAGCCCTGAGATTTCCTGGTGTTCTCCTAGCACTAGCAGGTTTGACCCTGCTTAATTGTGCTAGAGGATGGCTCAGTGACTAAGACGCTGCACTTGTCGATTAGAAAGGTGGACAGTTTGGCGGTTCGAATCCCTAGTGCCGCGTAACAGAGTGAGCTCTCGTTACTTGTCCCAGCTTCTGCCAACCTAGTAGTTCAAAAGCACATAAAAATGCAAGTAGAAAAATAGGAACCACCTTTGGTGGAAGGTAACAGTGTTCTGTGTGCTTTTGGTGTTTAGTCATGTCGCCACATGACTATGGAGACGCTTTGGACAGCGTTGGCTCTTCAGCTTCGAAATGGAGATGAGCACTGCTCCCTAGAGTCGGAAACAACTAGCACATAGGTATGAGGGGAACCTTTACCTTTACCAAATTTTCCCAGTAGTTTCTTTTTTTTTGAGAAGCAACATCTAAATCTGTCAGGTACTGAGGATTTAATAGCTGCCAGCTGGTGTAAGGTTGTAAGCTGTAAGCTGTAAGCTGATGCAATAAGGTGGTTCAGCATAGCAGGTTTAAGACTCTGGTCAGGTCCACACAAATCATTTACCATTTTAAGAGGTGTCTATATATA